CATCGTGCTGGCAGCAATTTTCTTACGACTTGTTCCTCCATCGAGGACTTGTCATCGAGCAAGCTGAGTCGTCGTCATCATCGTCATTGTCCTCGTCCTCGTCCTCGTCGTGGTCGTCGTCATTGTCGTTATTGAGGGTACCTCGATCGTGAGGTGTCTCGGTGGACGTACCGATACTCTCGTATAGCGAAGGGCACGACGACGGCCTCTCGCACGGGAACAGGTCGTCTGCCTCGAGATGGAGATCGAGGCGAAACAACGGAACCAAAGGAATCGGAGACGAGAACGAGCACAGCGTATGTTGGCGCAAAGGGAGAGCCTGGCAAGCGCGAAGCAGCAACAGCAACAACAGCAACAACAAACGAGACAACGGCCGAACGACGAGGAGGACAGTCACAGCGGCGAGGACGAGGACCCCGCCGCCGGTCTTGGCCTCGGACTTGCCAGGACCGGTCATCCTCGTGACAGCCATTCGCGACCGCCCAGGCCACCGCGACCCCCGAGGCCTCGTAAGAAGTCTTCCCTCGCGGCTGCCAACCAGAAGGAGCCTCCCTTCGAAGAGGACATTATCGACGGTTTTGCCATACTCGCCTTCCGCACCTACGAAGAACTCGAGGTGAGTCCAACAACGTTTCTCTTTCTCTCTTTCTTTTTTCCCTTCCTTCCTTCCTATATACCCTTCTTTATAATCGAATTCTTGTTGCATGATTTTAAAACCCATCTGTTGTTGGCATTCATGATATCTATAAACTTTGATTTATTTCTCATTTAACGTACATCAGCTGGAGACTGCTTTATTGCGTTATTGTTCAAACTATTTGAGCATAAATGGCAGAAATATTTGCGGGATAAACAGCAGAAAAATATGGAGATTTTATTTGGATCCTTTAGATATTTGTGTGCCTGGATTATCATCCAAGTGCTTGTAATCCAAACAGGGATATTATCCTCATGTTTTTTATTCTTCCAGTCTGAATTTAGTTTGCTATTTTAATTTCTTACATTAATATATACCCTGACATTGTACTTTTGATCGTACATGTACCTTTGTAAATTGTTAATTAATTTAATCGTTGAACATATTCACGAATGACTTTTAAATATATTTCTTTTGGAATAAAATCTCCAGCGCGGTTTTGTTATTCTTAATTCTCATCTTATGTTAAGTAGCATCTCCTCTACATCCACAATGTGTGTTTATACAAATCTACTGAAAAATAACATAGCACAATGTAAATATTGTAAAGAACATGACTATTAATTTTTTAATCAAGAATTACTACATAATTATTTGGGGCAGATAAAAAATCTAAAGGAACTTTGTTGATTTAGGAAAAATACTCAGTTTCTGCTTATTATTCAGTTTAATTGTAAATTAAACTGTGGACAGAAAGTATTAAAAATGGAATGTCAGTCCTGAATGAATTAAATTATTAAATACTTCAAGTATTCGAGTAATTCCATTACTAATAACGACAATAATTTTGATTTTGTATTTTCGTGTTATCTTCAAATTTCTAGAATAACTTTCAAAGTCCGATGTACATTCGAGTCTCACCTGTGTCACTGATTCACTGTGCATTGTTCGCTGACGGATCATCACGATGTTTCTTGTGCAAGCGTGCAAGACCCACACAACCTTGCTCGAACCATCGCGCGTAGTGTCGTTTTTATTTCTCTCTTTTTTTGTCCCTTCTTTCTTGCCCCTGGCAAGTTTTTATGCGTACATGCTACACAACATACGATATGCAGTATTAATGACGTTAAATATTTACATATGCTCAATACTGGGATTATTAGAGTACTTGAAATAGCTATTTTATAATTTTTTGTGGCGACTTTGAATGATACTTTGTAAAACATACTGATGAAAATTTATTTTTCCCTCTAGTTACACATTTCTTATATATCTTTTGTTTTTTTTTTTTTTTTTTTTTTGATACGTCTTGTGTATATTTTAGTCGTTAGCATTTAATATTAGAAATTTAATAGTTAATTCTCTTTTCACCTTCTTTTATTTTCGCCTTTGGAAATAATTGCAAGATTATTTTTATTTATCCGCCAACATTTAAGAGGCTGGCTGCTACAGCAATTTGTAGTTTGTTCGTTTGCACCTTTTTTTGCTCAGTTTCCATTCACCGTACTTCGCTCGGCCAACAACTGTTCTTTTCGCTATATCGGTTGTATGTATGTGTGTGTGTGTTTCATAGTCTAAAGATCATCTTTTTTTTATGTTCTTGTACAAAAACGCTCTGAAAACGCGACTGAAAAAGAAAAAGAAAAACACATGTAAGAAATGTATGTTCAAATATATAAAGGCAAGACTTTTTCTTGCAATATTAAAGCTGAAGAGTTTCTCTAAAAATTTCATTATTTCTCTTCATCTAGCAGTCCAGGTAATATTGTTCGACGAGTCAAAAAATATTGCTCGAAAAGAGTAATAAAAACCAATTACAGCAAATTACCAACTCGTGCAATTAAAGGGTTGAGCGTTTAACTTTGCTACGTTGATTCGACAGGATTAATTTACGAACGTTTTACGCTATATTGCTTATTTCGCCGCTGGAACAAAAAATAATAGATATGTAACAACATATTCGTTGTAAGAAATTATTTCACTTGATAAATTGCACCAACTGGCTCTCATACGTTTAGTATTCGAACAAAATGATGTTTAAGTATTTTATTATTATTTTTAATGGTATAGTATTCAGTAGGTACTTACATGTCAGTAGGTACATACATGTGTAGGTCTACATACATATTTCTTTTTTTAATTCTAAATAAAAAATGAAAAATATTTTGAAGCAGAATACATGAAAATTTGTGGCCTGCTCATTGAATGAAAAGCAAGGATCTTAAAGTATAGTTTGTACTTCAACATTTTCTCTCTTTTTTTCTTTTTTTTTTTTTTTATTATATTTGTATCTTGTACTTCCTTTAATGATCTGGGCATAAATTTGCATCAGAAGGATAGTACGCCTTGATGGAGGTAACATGAGACCCAATGTTGTGGTTTAACACTGACATTGTGCGAGACACTTCTGACTCTTTTCTAGATGCAATTTTCGTTTAAACAACTGCGTGCCGCACAAAATAATTAGAGGATCGTGTTTCCAATCGATGCAGGAGAATGAAATAAGCATTCACGTTGAAAGAGATACCACCATACACATGTATACGGTACAGGATTACAAACATCAAAATATTTCTGGAAAACGATAACATTCTGTTATAAAAGCGAAACATTTTATAATTTCCTAATTTTTCATAAAATTTTCATGTGTAATCTGACATTTGGCCCAATTTTTTAGATCATCTCTTTGGTTTGAGCAGTACATGTTTTTTCTGGAATCTTGTGCGCTACTTTGCGAGCAGTTCGAATGAACACAAGGACTAATTCTCGATTGTCAACGCTGTGCAGACTGAGATTTGTTTTTAAAGACACATTAAAAAAATTTCAAAATATATATATATATATTGTATATAATTAATTCTGTAATACTGTACTATATTCACATAATATTATATTGAGGAATTGAATATCCTAGTTGAATAACAGAATTTAATTAACTCTTTAAAAATAAAATACAAGACATGTATTAGAATAAAACTCACTTTACAAAATTAAAGACCATAATGAAATTTCATGATGTGAAAGTATAGCTTGTTGTTATAAATATTGGCATTTATACAATGTTAAAAATTTCAAATCAGTAATGTAAATTAACTGGAAAAAGGATTGGAAATTAATGCATTGTTGGTCTTTACTGATTGATATGATAATTTAAGCCTGAATGATCTTTATATGTTGAAAAACTGTCAAGAATTATAAATAACACAAAGTAGGAATATTAACTTTTAGAAATGATAAAAATGAAACAAATATAATGCTACAGGTGTAAAGTATCAAAAAAAGTCCTGACTGAAAATACAATTTGTCTTGCTCAAGTAGATGATCATTTTGAACCGCGTACATAACCTAGAAGGTATGATTGAAATTATTGAAGCATGAACTCCATTTGAGAACGAGTTCGACTGTGTATACCGATCAAAATCATTTCGAAATGAAACGGTTTTAATTACGCAGTACCTTATCAGCAATAGCATCGAAGTGAGCATAAATCGAATTTATTATCTTTGGTTAGCGCGAGCCAAAAAAAGAAGTAACGCTAGAGTGGTATGACGGTATTACATTGCGTCTACGAGGCAACGAAAGCTCTTTCACGCCGTTACAAGTACCTTTTATCATGATTTATCGCGGACGCAACCGCTAATCGTTATTTTTGCCGTATACCGCGATACCAACTCGACTGACACGATCGTCTTCGTTAACGAGCTATAATTTTTCGTAAAAGCAACAATATGAAACTTGACCGGCTTAGTCTATCGCGTTCTCTATTTCTAAATCGCAATTTTTTCAATGCAGAACGATATCCTCGATTATTTATGATGCGATGGATTGTTCGAAAAAATTATGTCTCCGTCTCTTTTCCGTTCAGTAAATAACCTTTAATTGCTTTTGTGATAAAATCGTTATTATTTAGTGAGTTTTCCTAAACATATTATTCGATTATCTTCACGAAACGCGTTCAGAAAAAAAAGCCGATTACATTACCGATAAATAATCGCAAAATTCGCGAATAAACAACGGAATATTTGCCATCGCGTAGTCAATGAAAAATTGAACCACTGATAAATTAAACTCGATGCGTTTTACAATCGTAATGAAAAATAATGTTACTCGTTTTCATGACGAATATTACAATTATAACCTCTTACGCTGACAACTAGCTCGCGGACCATAACGAGTGACCAAACCGTATACAATAATTCGTTTTTCTTTTTGAACTTATCGAACGTCGGTATCACTGGATAGAAATTATCACTAAGAAGTAATAAATTTATTATTTCTTCTGTGTGGTTTGTTATATTTAAATAAATTTAAAACTGAGAAAATATTCGAATTTTTGGGATAAAAAATTCTCGACGTGCGTGGCGGGTTATTCCAGCGCAAGAGGTTAAACAGTCACCGAAAAATAACTTAGTTTAGAGCGAACTTTCGAACCATAATGTATGATTCATTCTTTTATTTTTTCTTTTTCGAAAAAAAAAAAAAACTATTCACCTGGAAATGTCACCTTGTAGCCTACGAATTGTAGAAATAATAGTAAAACAATCTACTCTCTTGCTTGTCATGTGAATCGCTTAAACCTATTTCTCAGTTTAGTAAAAGTATTTGCTATCGCATAAAGGGATCCCAGAAATTCAAAGAACAGGCCTCAGCAATGGTCTGTTTGGCACATTTCTGAACATAGGACGCACAATGCAAAGGAAGAGTCCTTAAAATAGCTTGGGCCTTCGGCGAGTAAATTTCCTTTTCTACCTGAGAAATAATAGACAGAACGGAAGGAATGTTATTCAGTGAATTGTTGCTTATAAACATGAATCACTAATATTTACGATTTGTTCGATTGCTCTTAGCATTCCTCCTTTGTTTATTAGTCATTCGCTTATTTCATAATAACATGCATCCCCTGTTATAATTTGTAGTTTTTCTACAACCATGAAACGGAGATGATTAACGACTCGAGCTGAAATGCCTCGACGGTATGAACATAAATTGTTGCAATCATGAAACAGAAAGAGATATACATATAATAAAAAAAAA